TTTTCAATACCCCACACTATGGCCAGACATTCTTTTTCCGTAACGGAAAATTTCTTTTCGGCAGGACTCAAGCTACGGCTGGCGGACGCAATAACGTGATCACCATCGGTCATGTGTTGGATTAATGCCGCACCTAATCCATTGTCGGACGCATCGGTTTGCAGGACAAACGGTTTCGAAAAGTCGGGACAGGTCAATATCGGGGCTTCGGTGAGTCGGTTTTTGAGTGTCTCAAATGCGGTTTGTTCAGTCTCCGTCCAAACCCAGCGGACGCCTTTCTTCAGAAGGCGGTTAAGTGGGCTGGCTATTTGGGAAAAATTCTGTACAAATCGGCGGTACCATGACGCTACTCCCAAGAAACGTCGCAATCCTCTGAGGTTAGTAGGAGCGGGAAGCTCCCGAATGGCGGCGACTTTTTCCGGATCAGTTCGGATACCTTCCGACGTCACAAGGTGACCCAGGTAACGGAGGGAACGTTTCCCAAATTCACATTTCTCGGGATTTATTTTCAAATTTGCCTTCCTGAGACGACGAAATACCTCCTCCAGGTTATTGAGATGTTCTTCGAAGGTTTCGCCAAGAATGATGATGTCATCCAGGTAGGCAAAGCAAAATGGGTCTAATTCTGGACCAATGATTTGATCCATTAGCCTCTGGAATGTGGCCGGGGAGGAGTGTAACCCGAATGGCATTACACGGAATTGGTAAAGACCCATTCCCGGTACGGTGAAAGCGGTTATCGGTTTGCTACTTTCAGCAAGAGGTATTTGCCAGTATCCTTGTTTAAGGTCAAGGCTAGAAATGTATCGGGCCCGGCGGAGTTTATCCAGAATGGCATTGATGAACGGCAAGGGGTATGCATCCTTTCGGGATATGGCATTGACTTTCTGAAAGTCAATACAAAACCGGTACTTGCCATCTTTCTTTCGGACAATGACCACGGGAGAACTCCACGGGCTAGCGGACGGTTCGATGATTCCATCGTCCAGCATTTTCTTAACTTCAGTGTTGACTACTTCTTGCATCCGGGGATTTTGTGGGCGGTAACGTTGTTTTATCGGTTCAGGATTCAGTAGGTGAATTGTATGTTCCACTAAAGGAGTCGTGCCTTTAATGCGATCAAATTCCGGTAATTCTTTATGCAGAAACTCTTGCAATTGCCTTTCTTCGGAAGGTTTTAATACCAAGCATGGCTCTGCCTCGATAGGGCCAATAGGACTGCATAGTGTAGGAAACGGTAGAAGGCGATTTTTAAGGTGGATTTCACCCGTGCCCAGGTCTAAGTGAAATTGGTGGCGGCTTAGAATGTCCATACCAAGCACAATTTCGGAAGTTAACTTTGGGAAGTAACTGATGGTTTCGACCAGGGTAATATCTCCGAGGTTTAACGGTATCTGATACGCTTCGGAGATGTCGGTTATACCACCATTGGCCACCTTGGCATTTCGGACCACTGGTTCTACCTTCGGATAGGAGCAGAGGCGGCATATGTCTACGGCAAGGTCTCCTATATATGAATTAGCGGCTCCGGTATCGATTAGCGCTAGAAACGGTGCTTCATCAATGTAAATGCATACGTGGGGTCTAACATCTGGTAACCGGATCAGGCTGAGCTCGTGTGGCGGACGGTGTCTTTTCGAGGATTTTCGGAGGCGGTGCTGGGCTGACCTCGAACTGGTACAGCACCGTTTTAGTTTTCCGAACGGCGCCCGTCACATGGGCAGTCTCGGGACATAATACCGGATTTTCCGCATCGGGAACAAAATAATTTCGCAATGCCTCGGCATTCCGTTCTAAAGTGTCCCGTCTCCCCACATCTCCAGCACGTCTTTGCGGGTTTCGGATAGCTTCGGTTATTAAACGAGCTAGAGTTTCGGTCGGTTCCATGCGTTGGTCGTCGAGAGGTGACCGGTGAGGTATGTGTGGCCGTAATGCCTGCTGTTGTTCGGTGGGAGGTAGATGGAGTTGCTTTTAATTCGGCTAATAAACTCCCGATTTCCCTCACCGTACGGGAAAATGAGACTACATCGACAACGTCGGTTTTTCTAATATGCTGTCGGTATTCGGGTAGCAAATTCCTATATAGCCACTGAAGTTCCTGGTCCGGGTTTATGTTGCCATGCCTTCTGATGAGCGTTTGTAGGTCGGTGATGTATTGATGCGGCGGTTCATCTGGTTTCTGAAGGCGACGACTTATTTCAATTTCCAAATCGGCAGCGTAGTTTATCGGAAAATAAAAGCTTCGGAAATCTTGCAGGAAGGTGTCCCAAGTATTCCAATGGGTCCTATTGTTTCGGTACCACAGGGAAGCGTCACCCTGTAAAAGCTCAGGCATGTGCGGCAGTAAACAATCTATCACAATACCCTGAGACGTACAAATCTCCTGAAGTCTCTCGATAAACGTCACAGGGTCGGTTCTTCCATTAAAACTTATGTTCCATTTTTGTACCTTCAGCGGTATGGTCGACGCACCATAAGTAGATGGAGATATCGGTGGTTGGACGGATATAGTCGGAAGCGGAGTCGGAAAGGTCTAGGTAACACCAGGTGCATTGGTCCTAGTGTTACTGGCAGATGTCGGGGCAGTAGTGGTAGCCGTAGGTGAGTTTGTGGCTGGTAAGCTTGGTTGCGTCGGGAAACTAAATCCGGCCATCGTAGTCGGTGCTGGTGTAGCTTTGCCTAAACGGATATACGTGACAAGGCGCTTTTTCAAAATGTCGACTGTGCCGTTAGTATCGAGACCAAACTTATTTAATTCGATCACTAGATCATCTCTTTTTAATTGATATACCCAGCTCACTCGGACATCGTTGGGATCATACCAGGCAAAGGTAACTACGGACGGTAAAGTCACAGTCGGGTTGACGGAACTCGTGGTAACCGCCGTGGCAGTAGTAGTATTTGGAGTGCTGGTAACTGGTGGGCTTTCATTGGTGCCGGTGCCTCCCGTCATTATTATAACGCTGGTTAACGGAATACAGGTGAGGAGGTGAATCGGCAACGGCTGTCGGCCGGCTACGGTAAGAAGTGACGGAATCAGGTACGGTCGGATTTTTGAAGCGGTACGGTCAGAGAAAGCTTTTTTCGAGCTTATCGCCTAGCTTAATACTCAGCGGATTGAGTGTTCTCGGCCTGGCGATTCTGTCGGAACTCTGGCGGTAGATTTTTAGTCGGTTCGGTGAAGCGGTCTATTTCAACAGAGATGTTGCTCCTTCGAAGGATCGGTCGGTTCTCTTCTAGATGTTGCCTCTGCGAAGGCTCGGACGGTTCTCTTCTAGATGTTGCCTCTGCGAAGGCTCGGACGGTTCTCTTCTAGATGTTGCCTCTGCGAAGGCTCGGACGGTTCTCCTTTTTCCGCGTGATAATCTTAATTTATATTATTTCAAGGCAGTGGGGAGACATTTGCCACCAAAATTTGGTGGGAACATGGTGCTAGTGCGCACACCCCTCTCTCACGGTTTACTATTCGGTAACTACGGTAAATCTTCAGAAATATTATGAAATGTGGCAGCCTGGCAATCGGCACAAGATACTACTATTCTAGTAGTAGAATGATATTCGGCAACCTTGATTTAGTCGGAAAGTTGGTATGACACAATTTACACATGTGCAGTGAAATTGCCGTATAAAATGGCATTGGAGGAGCCGGTTTCTGTGAAATCACATCAATGGGGATCGTTTTTAGGTGGAAAAAAATGAAATCAGCGACCTCGGGTTACGATAAAATGAGCGGTAGCTCAAATTTTGTTATGCGCATGCGCTCACCAATACTTCCCAAAAACGGAGGCCTCCGGTCCAATGCGGTACGGTTTACAGGAACTCTTTTCCACGGTCGGACGGCATTGGTTGAGACCCTCAACTCATGGGGCGGATGATAAGACATGCACCGATCGGTCCAATAATAGGAGCGGTTCATTCGTTCCGGCGCTATGCGGCCTGGCAATCACATAGAAAACGGTACGGTAACGGTCAGACCTACGGGCGTCGCCAAAACAAACTGCCTCTCGGTGGAATCGGGGACTGAGGACGTAATCACCTCGGTCATATGCTGACATCGTTTACATGTGCGAAATGGTCTAAGCGGTCAAAATGGCCGAAGCGGTCAAAGCGGTCAAGCGGTCAAAATGATCAAAGCGGTCCCTGCTCGGGCGCCATTTTTGTAGCGTTATTTCAGTTTTCCTTGCACTGTTCGGGGTGCTACTGACTTTCGGTTATTTATCGGTCGGTTATCTCGGGCGCCACCCTCGGCTTTTAGAGTGGTCGAGGGCCCACTTGCTCCAGGTAGTATCTCAGTGGAGACGGAAAACCAAAGTTCATTGACCATTTAAAAAAAAATAAAACAAACATTCCGGGAAAACAACAGATATTTTATTCTGAATCAAGCGTTGAACAAGAAAATAAATACCCTATCTCGAATATAATACACGGCAACCTGAGAGAGAGGATGTGAACGAAGTATGTGTGTATGTTTTGTGTGAGAGAGAGAGATAAAGAGATTTTCGGGACGGAAATACGGTAAGCTCAAGGTAACCCTGCATCCAGAAATTTAGAGTACTCGGAATAACGGAAAATAAACAACTTGTTCGTCCTCGCTTCCAGCTCGTACGGTTCAGGCCTTAGGCCGCATGCGCGATCTGTTTGATTCGGTAAGCGTGCGGGTCTTTGTAGACGCAGAGAAGGATCGGAAGTATCCAGACAAGCACAAGCAGCGCCCCCGTAACGGAGCCCAGACAGGACGCGACTTGTGTCCGTCAGCACAGAACGAGTAGTATCACCCCGTAACGAATCCCAGACAAGTGTACTAAACGTGCCATGTGATACCCCGAGCCAAATAAGGATGAGCACAAAGGACACCCCGTAACGAAGCCCAGACAGATGCCCCCCGTACTCATCATTATAGATCGAATCAGCCCTACCCTGGAACGAAACCCAGACAGCAGCACAGCTCGATCCATAGTATTGACCCGCAAACGAACCTATACCTACATTGTACGGTGCAGTGATGACGTCGGCGTCGTGGCGAGCTGAAAGCGGCGGCGGCGGCGGCGGCGACGGTTTCTACGGTGAAGGCTTACCTTGGCTGCTGCTCGGTCTGCTGGCTGGTGCTGGCTGGTCGGTCGGTAGCGGTGGACGGAATCCCAATTCCTCGGCGCGCTTCGCAATTTATGAGCCCGGCGCCGCATGGCTTTCGCGGTGGGGAAGGCTGCCTGACTGACTGGCTACGGCGTTCCCCGACGAAGCGATGTGGGTTCGGGCGCTCGGTAGTACTGGCTTTTACGCCTGATTCGAGGTCACGCGTAAAGATATATTAATAATTAAAATAGAGACTAATTAAAGCCATATTACCTCTCCAGAACAGAGAAAAAATAGGTAACCTTCGTTACAAAGTTTACTCGGAAGGTATGAAATCATCCCATTCTTTATTAAAGTCATCATCTCGACAGAGATAGCTATATAAAACCAGTGATTTAGGACAATGTTGAGTCGTCTTGAATTTGAGAATTTTCAATTTAAGGCAGAGAACATTCAGCTATCGACAAAGCATGACTGTGCTATAAGTATCTTCTAAATTCCAAAAAAAGAAGGTGTCACTGCAACTAAAAGAAAGTTTCGGAAAGGCGATAATTTAAATGTCAAAGCCACCGAAAAAGTTAGCTTCGTGAAATGACGCTTTAGTTAAATAATAGCACGTAATTTTTTTGTGCCATGATGTCTTTTACTGGTGAGTCCAATTTTCTATGACCTTTGCCTTTAATTTTGTATGCACTTAAAATCAATTTTTGTGCATATTTCTAAATTCAGTTTCATAAGTAAAGTAAATGTTCTAAGACCAGCATGACCCTTTCAGGCCTTTCTGACCGATACAAAAAAAAAACCAAGAAACCTGCAAGGTCCCCTTGATTTGACCTTTTCAATGACAACCAGCAGGCAGCCATATTGTGGACACCATTTTGGATGTCGTCACAGTTGACGCTCTGTTCGTTCCTGTCAATCCTGTCAATATGTATACGTCAATTTTGGGGCACTATGAGACTCATCTTTAAATAGAAGGAAGCAGCCTACGACATGGAGTTTACCAGATAAGATCTTTCCATAATTTTTTTTTTAAACAACTTTCTTTTTCATAATTTTTTTATAATAATTCATAATTGTTTTAATGGGTACTTTTAGACCGACGGATAAACCATTAACTCTCTTTTGGATACATAATTAATTATGTATTTTCGTCGTCCTTTTTAGAGTGAATGCGCATTTACCCCTTGGAGGCTCGATTCCCAATTTTTCAAAATTCTAATTATTTTTTTTTATCTTTAAAGTTTTTCTGGTCTCAGGTCCCCAGATCGTTGTACAGGAAGTTTATTATTTTTTTGTGTTTATACAAAGGTTTGCATTTGGATGCTAAATTTCTAATAATTACTACCATATTTCATTATTACTTTTCAATTTCATACATTTTTGTTTGTCTGTTGTGAAAAACAACCAGCTGTGATTAACAAACAAGGATATTAATATTATTATTATTATTATACTAGTAAATAGGATAGATTTATTAATTGTTATATTATTCAATTTTTATTAATAATTATTTTTTTTTAACGTTAAAGGAATTTTGTTTTTTTTTGAAATCATCACTGTTTCATTTCATCGATATTTGAATTCACTCTTAATCTTTATTTAATGAATAACACGGGGTTCATTAAAGATATATATTTTTTTTTGATTTAGTCATTCATAAAAGAACTGGAATAAAAAACCTGTGTTGGCGCCCATAGGCAAATTAAAAATCCACTTTCTTTTTTTTTTTTTTGAGTTATTTTTGAGGATAAGAACCACGACCTCAGTCACCACTGAGCAGCTGACAGGCGTACTTGGTTTGTAAAGAAAACTGTTACAAATTAAATTGCGCCCAACTTCGGGGCATCTCGATTTTTTTTTTGCTTATAAATTTTTTAAGTAATAACTTTGATGATTTCAAATTTGGTTTGATATCCTTGTTTGGTGATGGCAAAATAAAAGTAAAACGTTTGCTTAAATAATTTTTGTTCCTGTAGGTTTTTTTGGCAGGAAAGTATTATACATAGACGGTTGGAAAGTATTTGAAAATTTAATTATCAATTTTTAAATTTTTTTTCAAGTTTGGATTTTCAGCAATTTAAAAGCTGAAAGGTTGAAGCAATATACATTTCAACAATTTTTTTTTCGTATGTATTGTAGCCAGTAAAAGACGGTGGTATCCAATATCATTCAATTTTTTTTATACACCTTTGGTGGTGTTTATGATTTTTCTGATGGTCTTGATTGAGTATATTTGAACCAGCCTATTTTGCGCGTTAAGTTAATTTTTCGTGGCGTGCACAATTTTTGAATTAATTTATTTTGGTTTTTTTCTTGAAGCTCGTGTCTTGAGATTTTTTTTTGAAGAGTCTTTTGAAAAGAAAAAGAATAATATTTGAATCAACTTTGATTTTTTTTTTAAATTGTAAAATAAATTTAAATTAAAATGGAAATTCGCGATGTCGAGTTTATGAAACCCACTCACCTCACTCAACCGGAGTTGAATTATGAATTAAGAATTCGGGGAGTTGTGGCGGCTAGACTGGATGCCAGTGCTAAACGTAAAATGTTAAGACGTAGAATGGACGCGGATCGGAATCGTGATGTACTGTACGTTGACCCTGATTACGATTTTCAAAACGAAAAAGAGATTATTACGGAAACTTTAGAAATTTTAGAGGGCCTTATCGCGGAATTCGAGGGACCGCAAACCGACTCTTCTTTTCAAAGGATACGATCTCGTTTAATTTACATTTCCAATCGCATTTGTAGATTGACAATTCCCGTGGTTGATGTCGATGCGGAGGTCACTCACGCTAAACAAGATTTCTATGCTAAATATTTGGAGTTGGAGGCCAATCTTTTTGAAAAAGCCGAAAACCATCAACAACAAAATGGACTTCTCAACCAAACTCTGAATCAAACTGTTATTCCTAACACACCCCCTATCATTACACCCGTAATTACGCATAATAAATCTGTCCCCGTCTATCAATGGAATTTAAAGTATCGTGGTGAGACCGACTATCGAACAGTGTTGTCATTTTTGCAGAAAGTTGAAGAATATTGTAAAACCCGTCATGTTTCTAAAGTTGAGTTATTTGAGAGCGCTGCTGAATTGTTTGTTGATAAAGCCTATAGATGGTATCAATCAGTCCTTGAAAGAGTTAACGATTGGGATTCTTTAGTCAAACTTTTGAAACAGGATTTTTTGCCTGACGACTTAGACGAAATAATTTGGGAGGATATAAGAAATAGATTTCAGGGTAGAAATGAGCCAATTCATCTTTTTGTTGCCGAGATGGAGTCTTTATTTAGGAACTTAGAGCGACAGTTACCGGAAGTAACTAAATTAAAATATCTGAAAAGGAACATTTCGCCTCTTTATAAAACACAGTTAGCCTTGGTTGAAATAGATACAATTAATAGTTTAATTGAACTTTGTAGGAAAATCGATAGCGCACATAGTACTAAACGAAATCAAAATGCGCGCGTATCTTGTATAGATTCGGATTCAAATAATATTTCAAATGAACCATCCACTTCCAGTTCACATTCTATGCAAGGTAATAGTTCAGGTCCTCAAAATAATTCCAGAAACAACCGTCCTAATTCCCGTGGCAGATTTAATAGTTCTCGTGGCAATAGTCGCAGTAATTTTCGCAGCAATATTCGCGGTAATTTGAGTGGTAGAAATTCATACCGGTTTAATAACTCTGACTCTTCTGAGACCGATACTTTCCAGAGAAACTTCAATCGAAACAATTCACAAATCCCTGAAAATAATGTAGCATCAATTAATAATTCAAATCCAAGTAGCAGTTCTAATTTGAATAATCAATCCTCTCGTAATCTTTCTACGATCATTTGTTGGAATTGCGGGTTAGAAAACCATGTTTTTGGTGACTGCAAAGCAAAAAGGAAAAAGTTTTGTTACAAATGCGGAAAACCAAACGTCATTTCTCGTGAGTGTAATTGCGTTCCAAAAAACTAAATTCTAGGACGTTTGTCCGCGGCCAGCAGACGTCTTGTTCCTCTATGGCCAATAGTAACAATTTCTTCAACCAAAAGGATTGGGATTCTTGGAAAAAGGTTGTAGCCGATTTTTGTAATGGAGCCCGCTTTCCCGTTTCTGTTGTCGAACAAATACCTCCCAAGATTGTTTCTGATCTCAGCTCTAAGCAGACTACGGCTTCTTTAGCTCCTTTGATTGTCAATAAACCTTTCGACAATCGTCCATATATTGAAATAAAAATTTTTGATGTTTCCGTTAAAGCATTACTGGATAGTGGCGCTAGTCAAAGCGTTCTAGGTGAAAAAGGTCTAGACATAATTCCCAGATTCGATCTTAAATTAGATAAGTGCGGCGATAATTTTGTGTATACTGCTAGTGGTCAAGCTCAAGATGTTTTGGGAGTTATTTATGTACCAGTTTGTGCAGACAATTTGTGCAAGATAATTAAAGTTTTAGTTGTGCCTTCTTTATCGCATGGTTTAATCCTGGGTAGTGACTTCTGCAAAAACTTCAATGTAAAAATAAACTTCGAGGAAAATTCTTGGACAGTTGGTAATGTGGACACTTCAGTAAATAATTTTATTTTTTCAATTTCTTCCGAAGATAAGGAAACCTCTGCGCCAGGTCATACATTTTCAATTAGCCAGTTAGAGGAAAATGAACAAGTTAGGTTAGCATATGAAGCAATAAGCTGTAAAGACAAGTTAGGTCGTACAAACAAAATGACATTCTATATAGACACTGGCGACTCTAAGCCCTTCCGAGAACGTCAATATCCTATGTCACCTTTTATGATGAATATCCTAAACAAGGAATTAGACGAAATGTTAGCTTTGAAAGTTGTGGAACCTTCACATAGTGAATATAATTCACCAGTTCTTTTAGTCAAGAAGTCCAACAACGAATATAGATTCTGTTTTGACGGTCGCTCTTTGAATAAGCAAACAAAACACGATGCATACCCTTTACCTCGTGTTGACACAATCCTAAATACGTTGCGTGATGCTCGTTTTATCTCGTCCATCGACCTGAGAAAGGCTTTTTGGCAGATTCCCTTACACCCTGATTGTAAAGAAAAAACAGCTTTTTCAGTTCCCGGTCGAGGATTATTTCATTTTAATGTTGTTCCGTTTGGCTTGCGCAAT